AGGTTCCTTCTCACAGCCCTACTATCCCGACTTTCATATCGAAGAAAACCTACTATCCAGGTTCCTTCTCATAGCCCTTACTATTCTGGATTTCATATCGAAGAAACCCTACTATCCAGGTTCCTTCTCAAAGCCCTACTATCCCGACTTTCATATCGAAGAAACCGTACTATCCAGGTTCCTTCTCATAACCCTACCATCCAGGCTTTCATATCGAAGTAACCCTACTATCCAGGTTCCTTCTCACAACCCTACTATTCAGGATTTTATTTCGAAGTAACCCTACTATCCAGGTTCCTTCTCACAGCCCTACTATCCAGGTTCCTTCTCAAAGCCCTACTATCCAGGCTTTCACATCGAAGAAATCATACTATCCAGGTTCCTTCTCACAGCCCTACTATCCAGGCTTTCATATCAAAGAAACCCTACTATCCAGGTTCCTTCTTACAGCCCTACTATCCAGGCCTTCATATCGAAGTAACCCTGCTATCCAGGTTCCTTCTCACAACCCTACTATCCAGGCTTTCATATCGAAGTAACCCTACTATCCAGGTTCCTTCTCATAGCCCTACTACCCAGACTCTGATATCGAAGTAACCCTACCATCCAGGTTCCTTCTCATAGCCCTACTATCCAGGCTTTCATCTCGAAGTAACCCTACTATCCAAGTTCCTTCTCATAACCTTACTATCCGAATTCTTCCTCTCTTATCCCCAGACAGCAGTCCACAACACTGTAAGACCGGGACCCGATCACACACAATTGATTTCACATTTCCCCAGAAAGTCGCGGTGTAACATATACCCCGACCAAACACACAGTTCACTTCCGCTTCCCAAATCGGAATCATTCCCCAGTAGAGTAACAGACAACTGAAGCTCCTAAAATTCTATTTCTCTCAAGACAGAGACCAACATTCCCCAGCGGAGTCCTCCTCAGACAACAGGTATACGGGTTCTCGCAAAGGAATCTCGTATGCGATCGATGCTTCCTCGAATGACATCGTTAAGCCCATCTCCGAAAATTTTGTAGCAACTTCCAAATGGCATCTATAAGCCCATTCCCGATGTCACAAATCAAGTATCACTTCATGCGAGTGCAAATTTTTGGGCACTCTAGTGTTCAATCATCTTCCACCTTTAGATCACGAAAGGCAGACGAGCCAATCTACATCCTCAGGTTTAAGAAGATTGAACAGGGGAAGATGTTGTACCCCGAAATTTTCCCTCCCATATTTCTTAATACATGTCAAGTGAGGTCCTCAAATTGCTCAAGGAAGTCAAAGAGTTGACCAGACAAACTCTCTCCTAAGGCAGTCTACCTCAAATTAGGGTTTCATTTTGCATCAGATGCTTGAGTCCAAAGGATCCCAAATTCTTACCATTGTCCTAATATTTTCTCAAGATCATCCATATCAAGTTTCAAGCCTTGCAGAGGAAGTTTTCTCAATCAATTGCTCAAAGGCCTAAAAATCGATTGTGCTAGGTCAAAACTCAACTGTGGCCCACATACAGTCAAACTTCAAGATTTTTGGTCCACATACTCATTTTGAAGTATCATTCATCATTGGATCAAGGGTTGATCATTATTCATCATGGATTGCTCATAATTCATCAAAACCCAAAAGTTGCTAAATTAGGGTTTTGTAGGAAAAGTCAACTCAACTTTGACCAAGCATAACTTTCTCATACTTTATCAGAAATGACCCATCCAAAGCTCATTTTTAAGAGGATGAAATTACCTACAATCCACCTTCAGATCCCAAGTTCAAAATATTCACTCACAAAAAGATATGAATTTTGACATTATAGGTCATTTTGAAAAGTCAACAAAAACACCTTTTGGGTCAAAGCTTCATACATGAACATGGAAGACTCAATTGATATGAGACCAAAAGGGTTGTTTAGAGGATATCATAAGCTTTCTAAAAAGTCATATAACACCTCTCTAGGGTCAAAATTGAGAGAGTTATGCATTGGCCAAGTTGACCTTTTTTGCAAAATCGTCAAAAGTCAAATGTGCTCAAATTTTCATTTTTTGCTAAATGGGCCCAACGTTTTATGCTTGAACTTCAATGATAGCATAGTCCACGACCTATGGGACCCTCCATGCTTTATTTATTCATTTATTTAATTTATTTTGATTTTTATTCATTTAAAATTCAAATAAAATCAAATAAATCTAAATAAATCATATATTATGTTTTAGGGTTGATTTTTGCATTGAATGAAGATCTTATATGCTGTCAATTGAGAATAAATTAGTGCAAGGCTGATTTATGTGGAAAAATATTGAATTTGATTAAAATTGGAAAGATATCATATGCCATGAAAGACCAAATCAAATCTTCAATATGAGCAAGATTGAGTATGTTTTTGTTGACCTAACATGTTGTAATACATATACAGAAGCAAGGCAAGGCACAAAGAGAGGTTGGAGCAGTCATGAAAGAGGAAAACATAACTCAAAAAATTCAAGAAAAAGTGGTGATCCAATTTCCATATTATAGGCCAATTCGTGCCATTCTCACATTGCCAACAGATTGCTGGACATCCCAGGAACATATCCCAATCAACTGCAAGCCTTTTCACGCCTGGAATTGTAAGTTACTGGTATCAAGATTTGCTTTCAAACTCAAATTTGATTTCATTGATTTACTGATCCTATGCATGTTTTGATTATATATTCGTGTTCATCATTGAGTTTGCAAACTATTGGTACCATTCAATTGCATTTCTAACGCATGTACAAGATGTTGCCATAACTAGGGTTTTACGTTCTTGATTTGGGCTTTGCAGTATAGGCAAAATTGGGTTTGGATTTTGGTGCCATGACACTCGTGAGGATGAGACGAGTCGATTGGAACCTTTGAATTTCATTTATGTTGCTTGTAGAGAGTTTTTGTGTTGAACAGGCTTGTAGCTACAACGCCATGTCCGTAGGTAAAAACATTGTTGCCTAAAGTGACAGATGGGAGGAAGAAGATAAATGCGTAGCACCCCCTGGCTGGACAATTTGAATTTAGTGCATTTTTTATTTAATCTTTATTTTCCATATATTATGTTTTGTTTTTATTGTATATCCAAATAAATCAGTTAGCTAAGTTGGCAAGCGTGCAGGGGAAGAGTGCCTAAGGACCTGGGTTCGATCCCCAGGTCCCAAACTTTATTCATATTTTTCTTCAACAGATAATCCAGCGCGTTGCAAACCAAGGAGCTCACCATATACCATTAGGATCTGGCCATCCAATTCATCAGCGCTCCAGATCAACGTGCTACCCTTGGAGGACCACCATGCGCCCCCAGTCAACGTGCACACTGGATTGGGCAAAGTCAAGCAGGCCTTAGCCATTTGGGCCCAGCAATTCAGACAGCACCCCCCATAATTGCTAATACAGGCCCATTATTCCTTCCTTTTTCTTTTAGTTTATTTTAATCTTTCAATATTTACTTTATTTTCTTTAATTCACAAATTAATTTATTTTTCACAAAAAACATAAAATCAATAATTCACAAAAAATTAGGGTTAGTTTTTTTAATTTTTTTTATTATTATCAAAATTAATTTAATTTAGTTTAATTTAGGAAATTGTAACTTGCTTTCATAAATAAAATCAAAATAGAAATTAAGTTAAACCTTTAATTTAATTTTATTTTGCTCTTTTTCTCAAATAAATAAAAATACAAAAATAGGCTCTTAGAGGAATTAATTTATTTTTTTTAGTTTAAAATTAAATAGACTTAGGATTTTCCTTTAATTTCACATTTCCATTATTTTCTTAAAACATAACAAAAACATTTTCTTAGTTAATCGCAATTAGGTTTAGGCAAGGGTCAAAACCCTAATTATCTCGTATTCGATTCATCGTGCACGTATTATTATTTTTACGATATTGTTGTAACTGTTCATGGTTTGTAATAGTTTAATCTAGGGTTTTTATTTATCGCTTTTTCCCGGGTTTTTGGCTATGTAATTAATCCCCCTCCCCGAAGCCTTGTAATAGCATAGATTTACTTTATCGCATTTTAATTCTCGCAAATATTTGACTGTTTAGATGTATGCTAATAGGGTTGTATGACAAGAATGCATGACAAATTAATACGATTAGAAAACCCTAATGTGCAAAGATAATTAACTGAAACAAATCACTCGCACATATCACTCTTAGGGTATACTCTCACTTCGGTTTACTTCGGTAAACGATCATTAGGCATAGGGTGTCTTAGTGGTTTCCCTCCTGTCTAAAAAAGATCAAACGTCCCATTCGAATGTTGCCTCGGAAAGGTTTCCTCGAAAATGTTGCCTCGGAAATGATCTTAAGACTCTAGGGTTATTACTAAGACGTCCTAATATTGCTTTAGTGATCGTACGTCCCTTTCGAATTGACCCTTACAAACTCCAACGACGGTGCTACCTATTTCTCAATAGTAGGATAACGCTGTCTAAAGGAAGCAATAATAGAAAGGATATTTTTTCGAGTAGGTAGATGCTAGTAGGTACTTGCTCAAATCAAAGCTTTTTACACTTACACATTTCAAGACAATTTTCAAAACAACTTCGTCACACCTTTGAGGACTGATACAAGGGTTATCACGAAGTAAAACATTTTCAATGTAAGCACATACACAAGCAATTTTAAAAAGATGAGCAACACTACAACATTTAGGCTCTCCAACAACAATTGGAAAACGTTGCCAGAACTCTGAAAATCGTTGCCTAAAACAATAGGGGACGTTTTCTAGGCGTCTCCTCTGCCTTTCTCTTTAAGGAAGTTTTAGTTATGTTTCTCCCATAACAGCATACCCTGCCTGGACACTCCTTTCCAAAAAAAACTTTAAAAGCTTCTGTATCACTTTCCTCCTTTTCAACCATTTCTTGAAGTTGGGACTAGCATAAATTACAAAAAAAAAATTAGCTACTATTATAGACAATGTTGGCCGATTATATTAAGCAAACGTATTATATAAACAATGTTACATACAATTACTTTTCCTTGTAATATCATGGATAGGACTCACCTTTTAAGTAAGTTAATGCTACTACAAATAGGATATAAAATACTACTGCGAAACCAAGTAATGCTGCAATTGATATCCAGAAAAAGTTGCTATCAAAGTCTAAACCACGACTCTTGAGAACCTCTCTTCCAACGGTGATGTTTCCCTCTTGAATCTGAAAAATAATGATGATGAAAATAACGATAGTAAATATAAATATATAACTGGAGATTCATGTTGATACACCGTCTGTGTAAAAAGTTTTACACTGTAAACAAATTACAACCAGTTATATGCGTGACTTCAGTAGTATTTAGAATAAACGTCAAACATTTGTAATAATCTTCCGATTATGATTCATTGACAATATAAAAAATCATCATCCTGACAATGTATATGAATTAGATCCATATAAACGTATATTGTGACCTATCATGAAACCAAATAAATTATCTTAGAAGATACCTTTTGCCAGCGAGGAGCAAGAAATTCATTGAGTGTTATTCCTATTTCCCCATATGACATGGGAGAAAGCCAAAAACCCCACCTCAACCACTTTGGTAATGATGCTTCAGAGAATAAACTCCATGATGAGTAACTTGGTAATTAGTAATTTAGTACTACCACATGTTATAACTGAGACGATATAAAGCGGCTTACGTCGAGGAAGAATAAAGCCTCCAAACAAGAACATGAGTACTAAGACCAAAGAACCAACATTTGTAGCTGCAACATCAGTTTTAAAAACTGCAGCAAGGGAACGACACATAGAGGTTGATGACATGTGCAGAGCGATAAGCAAAAGGAACTGGCGGAGGAACCTGATTCAATAATAAATATATAAGAAAAAACTTGCAAAAGAAAAGAGAAAAAGTTTGACTATACTTACATATACACGAGTTACAGACCTTGTTATTTCTGGGCTGTAGCCTATAACATAATATGTTATTGATGTCCAAACAAGAGAATCAAGGACTGAAAATGGAATCTTTAGTATGGCAGCTGGAAGACAGTAAGCCCAAGCTGGATAGAGATAGAATGCTTTCTGCTTATAAACAACGGGTAGTCTAGTAATAGTCATTATCAACTCGACAACTCCATTTGTCATTAGGCGTACAAGTGTATAGTACAGTGAACCTAATAAATAGTTTGATCCTAACAAGTCCACGTCAAGTTGTGTGCGAAAAAAGACCGTCATTGTTATGATTGCAGTGATTGTAAGCTGCAAAACAAGCGAAAAAAGAAGCAAGTTAGATTTTATATGTTCAAGTACGACTTAGCTGAGTTGAATTAAACTTGAATTTGATAGTAACCTGCACACTTTTGAATATATAGATAAACGAGTTTCGTTTCATGAGAAGAATCTCCCTCTTCATACAAGCTTCAAACAAATCCCATTTTCCTAAGGAGTACTTGCTATATGATAAAGAACTTTCATGGGATTGAGATTTATCATATGGTTGTGAGAGCTCATCAACTAACATTCTTCCCCAGTAGCTTGTTTTAAAAATTTGAGAGAACTCATCCACTGAAACATAACTGTAAGGAATATCCGTGCGGTACCAGTATTGCCTTTGATCCTTCTTAGAGGTTACCTGCGTGCGCATGAAATTTGTAATTCGTGAAACTATGAGTAAAATCACTTGAACTTTGGCGCAATGGTAAGGGACACAATTTCTATTCCTACCTCTTGAAGAAAGTCTGCCACTCCTTTTCTTTCAGGGCACCAGAAACCGCAATCCTTAAAGAACTGGAGTGCTTGACTGTAGGGGCCATGGTATACTATCTTCCCCTCTGCCATCAATATAAGATCATCAAACAACTCAAAGGTTTCTGGTGCTGGTTGGAGGAGTGAAAGCACTGCTGTTGCATCATTGATGTGCACCAATTGCTGGAGACATGTAATTATTTGAAAAGTAGTGGAGCTGTCTAAGCCAGTTGATATTTCATCCATAAAAAGTGCTTTTATGGGACCTACAATCATCTCTCCTGCAATACGATTTGGAAAAAAAGATTGAGTATATATATTAAGAAGAAATATCTATGAAGAATATTTCGTATCTTTGCAGTCCAACCACAAGTATCATATAGCCTTAATTTTCACTGCTCTAGTAAAGAGGCAACACTTCTCGTGTATATTCAGTCAAGAGAAGTAACTTGCAAGTACTTTAAGTACTTATAAGTTCTAAGGAGATCATCGACTCTTGAATTTTCCTCTTTGCAACTCTTAAAATTTGACCTAACTCTATCTTACTGTAACAATGAAAATATTAGTAGCGCTTATACACACAAAAACCAAAACTCACACAAACTCATCACCTTTAACCCAGCAGTGAATTCTAGACGACAATGTGAAGTCAAAAAGAAGTGGGAAGAATAAGTTTCCTCTTCCATCCTTACCACACTCCAAATCGCGCAGACTTGAGACTCCAGCCTTCCGCTCCGATCACAGCCGCGAGTCCACAATGCACCAGAAACAACACGCGACGCCGACAAACGCCCTGTAGCACCGAGAACCGTCACTAAAGTAAACCACCACGGCGCACTCCGAGATCCACAGTCCATACCTTCTGCCACAGAACTAACACGATCGCAAACCCCTCCATCTAGATCCAGTGTAACAACAACCCGTAACCCACCAACGATTCTGGGTTTCAGGTACAATACTTTCACCTTTCGATGGCTTGTTTGTTTAATTTGAATTTATGGGAGATTTGTTAAGTTAAGAAAAATGAAGAGATATGGAGGAGGAAGGTTAGCAGAAGATCTAAAAAAATGAGAAAGAAAGAATACTGAGATTTGGGTTAACGTGTTCTGTTTCTTAAAGTTTGGTCTTCTTTTGTTTTTATTTTTAATAGGAAGTTTTTTCCTTTTTATTTTTATAAAGAGAGTGGAATGTGTCTATATATATATATATATATATATATATATATATATATATATATATATATATATATATATATATATATATATATATATATATATATATATATATATATATATATATATATATATATATATATATTAGATATATTAGATATGGGTGGTTCCTCCCATTTGTTTCTACTGTAACCTCTTTGCTCTTTTTATATGTTTATTTTATTAGGATTTTAAATTCCTGTGTTAGAAATTTTTTTTTTATATATATTAATAATGTTTAGAGAAAATATTTGTTTTTTAGTGTATAAGTTTTGGAGGGAAGATTGCCACCAAAAATTTGATAATTCTAAAAAAATTTGTACAACATTTCAGAAATGTAGCCTTTTATTAGAACTAATGTAACAATCTAAAAATGTCCCCAAAAATATTTTAGGGGATAATTGTCAAACATTGCTAAACAAATAATATTTTAACGCTCTAAAATCGTCCCCAAAAGCAGTTAAGGGCACAATTAACAACCGTTGGCAAAAAAATAAAAGAGTATCGCTCCATAAACGTCCCCAAAAGTATTTTAGGCGACGATTATCAAGGGTTGCAAACATATTTTTGACAACAATCGTAAATCGTTGCCTATATGAATTTAAGGCAACAATTTCTACATGTTACCTAAAAAAGTGTTGCCAGAGACAACAAATGTTGTAGTGCAAGTACCTAAGAGCCCATTGAAAACCATGGATAGAAAGGGTGCTAACACCTTCCCTTTCTATAATCTACCCCCCGTACTCAGAATATCTCGAAAAAGGATTTTTTCCGTACTTTTTTCCTTTTCGATTGGATGAAATAAAAGTCGGTGGCGACTCTTGCTTACCGCGACATTTTGCAAACAAAAAACGCAAAACGCAAACCAGTATTAAACAGTCGGTTCTGCCACCGTATCACAGTATGTATGAATGAATAAATGTTGTGTATATGCTGACAAAACATACGCATAAAACTGGGGAAATCCAGACAAAACAAACTTGGGTAAAGATAGTAGTAGGCTAAAATGCATCATGGTTTTTTTTCAAAAAAGAGATTTTTAGGCTCAAAGTTTATTTGTGCCCACCCCATTCTCCGTGATGTTCTCCAGTCATATGTTTAGTTAATTCAACATGAGTATTCATCTCTTAGAAAAGATCTTGCGATGGTTTAAGAAACCAATAAGACTTTCAGAGTAGCAGTCACCCTTTTTGTCTGTGTTTGTAGTCACACAAATTTGTTCTTTGTAGAGGACTTTTGATTTGTAGTCCCTTCTTTATAGTAACTTTTTTTTTCTTTTCTCTTTTTCTCTTTTTATTTTCCCTAACTTTTGTCTGGACTAATCTTTTGAATTTTGATTTTGAAGTCCAGCGGAATGCCCTAATATTTGCCTAAGTTACTTGACTTAGCATGCTTTTTTTTCTTTCTTTTTTATTTTATTTTTTATTTGAAAAAATGTGTGACATTGACTCGTCTTGATCTGTTGAGAGGGTAATGATTTCCTCGTTCCTCAATGGATGAGGGATAAACATTGTGGTTTCACCTCTTATTGCCTCATGATTTGTGAAAGATAACCATTGTGGTTTCACCAGAGGTACATTCCTTTTGAAATTTGAACACTCGGTCAAATTAACTACCCCAGGTTAAAAATGAGGGTTTTTTTCGTATAAAAAAGAAACTCCTTCTTCAAGGCTTAAAGGGGTTAACAAGGGAGTATCTTCCTTATGTCTTAGGTATTTGGGGATTTGAAACAATGCATGTACATCGTCAACAAGATTTTATTCAAAAGCATACAACCAAAAATTTTGCGTTTTAGATTCATCAACCTCCCTCCAATCTCTGCCTAGGCAAGAGAATGGGCAACACATTGGTATCATAACACAAAAAAGCAATTTAAAATTGAAAACAAATGCGAGTGAAACAAATGGGTTTCTTCAAGACAAACATACTCATTGTATTATAATAATCATTCAAATGTAAACAAGTTCTTACATGCAAACAGTGCAATGATAAACAAGAGAAATTACAAATGAAAAAGCATTAAAATTATAATAAGCTAATAATACTCTCCATCTATTCTTGTGCTAAAGGAAACATCTTTCAAACTTCACGGCCACAATCACTAGAGGTTCACACATGTTTTGCCAAATGATCATTTTGAACATTGGTGAAGGATAGAAAAACACAAGAAAAGGGGTTTAAATTTTGGTTTTCAAAAATTAAAAATAGTATGACACATTTGGTTATCCTGGTTCGTTTAAAGTCAAACTACTCCAGTCCACCCGCCAAGGTGATTTCGCCTCTCTCAATCGAGGTCTTAATCCACTAATCAAAACTTTGATTACAACTCATAAAGACTACCATCAATGTCTTGAGACTAAACCACAACTTGATTTCTCAAGGAATTACAACTTTTCTATAAAAAATAATGTGTTTAACAAATGCTTCTAAAAATCTATATCACAATTGTGATGTTTACACAAGATTAAAGCACAATAATAATTCAAGAGATAAAAATAAGAGAGAATGTTTTTTATCACTCTTGTTGGTATGTGTGAGTGATATTTGATTCTTCTTCATATTATTCTTTATATAGTAATTTGATCCAAGAGATCCGTTGGAGACATGAGAATATGTTTTTGGAAAGTTGATAAAATGTTGTTAAAGAACTTTCCAAAAATAGAGATATTGTTCCCAATCATAATTATGCAGCCGTTACTTTCTTGATCCTATATTAATTATCATTAATGTGATGTTGGATCTTCAATCCTTTCAGAGTTTCTTAAGCTTGATTGCATGTAATCAAAACTTTGATTGTGACAGACACATTGAAGCTTATTTCTTCTTCAGAATTTCACTGTTAGAGTGTAGCTTGAGCTTAAGTGCTGATTCTTAGAACTTCAGAATAGATGAGTGCATTGAGACTTCATTTGTTCTTCCAGATATTCACTTATCAGAGTATAGCTTGCAGATTTTAGCTTGCACCTTTGGTGCTTCAAAATTTATAACATAAGAGTATTGCTTCATCACATTTTAGCTTGCAGCTTTGGTGCTTCAGAAGTTATAACATCAGAACTTATTCTATCGAGCGTGATACTTTTATTAAGTTTGTACAAATATTCTTATCAGATCTTCTTAGGGAAAATTAGTTGCCAACTTCTATGCTTCTTTATCAGAACATCTCTGCATATTTAAATAATTTATTAGAGAGCATAATTGTTCTTTATATATATCATGTATTTGTTATCATCAAAACTATTACTAAGATGTAGAACCAAACTATGTTCTAACAATCTCCCCCTTTTTGATGATGACAAAAACTTGTATATTTTGATGAAAAAGTAAGAACATAAAGCATTAGGGTCTCCCCCTGAGTTGAATACTCAAATAAAGAAAAAAAATAGATACTTCCCTGAAGATGTTTGATCAGAGCTTTTGATGGAAGTTTTGATAAGTCCATGTGGCAGAAGTTACTTTCAAGAGAAACCTTTCCTGTTTGCTTTTCAAAAAGTGAAACAGAGGTTATGTTATCAAAAATGTTTGAGACTTAGTCATGACACTATTATATTCAAAATATCTTACGTTCTCCCTCTTTTTGTCATTAATAAAAAAGAATTAAAAACACGTAATCAGAGCAAAAAACTATGCAATTAAAAATAGAGGAAAATAAAATGAGAAACAAAAACAAAGTGATGAAAAGAGGAAGCTATTTCTCAAAACTTAGGGTTTTAAAAGAAACTATGGGAAAAGAAATTTCAGAGAAAACAAATAGTGAGTGAAAGATGGTGAAAAGTGATTGTGAGAGAGGTGAATAAATAATGATTAAAAGCAATAAAAGATTTCTTACAAAGGAGATAGTGAAGATATCTGAAACAGTTACCAATGACTTGTGCCTCAATGCATCAACTCAATCGTTGATCAATCAGAGTGAGAACACTTGTTCCTTCTCTGATGATGACTTGACGTTTAAGATTGACATATGTTGACATGGTGAACTGCATGATACTATCTTGAAATGAAACATTTTGGTTATATGCTTAGACATTCTTGATAGTT